ACCATGGATTTGTCATTTAGCATGATGATGTTCTCCATTTTGTTTCCAATTCTCTTCTTAATGATGCCCAACATTTTATTTGCTTTTTTGGTCACTGTTGCACATTGCGTTGAAATTTATAGATCAAGGGGCTTTATCCTAATTTATATACAGCCTGCTCTATTTGAAAGTCATCAAGGAAAACTGACCCTGAGGAAGTGCTCGTAGCACGTTTAATCCTTTAATTAGAACAAAAAACAAAACAAAAACGAGATTTTGCCAGTAAACTGCATATAGGGACAATAGTGCTTTGTTATGCAGCACCTGATCTTCCTTCTAAAGATGTAATGCTGTGTATGTTCTAAGTATTATATGTATCAGGTTGTATAGTCTGTACAGAGAGAAGAGGCTTAAACTAATAGTTTAAGCATTAAGCTCAATTCAACACAAATATTTCACAATTTACAATTCACTAGTTGATTTCTTAAATTTATGTCTTTTTTTTTCTTGCCTGTAATAAGGTAATAAGGTAATAACTGAATATTTACTTATAACACCTGGCTCTCAGGAGCATTAGTAGGACTGGTTACTGTTAGAAAGCTCTGGTAATTAGACATTCTATATACAATAAGTACGGAGTATTAGAGGTGCACCAAAACATCAGTTCCATATCAGATTTGCACCAATATAAGGAAAATTGACTGTATTGCCAATTAACTTTTTTTGGCTGATGTGGCCAATAATGTCACCGATAAATGGCTCGTGCATGCACACAGCTGCAGCTCACAATGCTCCTAGGTGGCTAGGAGCATAGTCTGGCAGTGTGGAGAGCACCCGGGTCCAGATAGTAAGTCTCTTGTGAGGGAAGGGGTGGGGGGAGAAGATCAAGGCACTAGCGGTGAGGGAGGGAGTGGGGCTGGGGCTGGGGCAGGTGTGGGGGGGGGAGTGGGGCTGGGGCGGGGGCAGGCACTGCACAGCTGGGATATAGCAGGTGATGGAGCCATGAGTGGCTCATCTGGGAGGTGCGGGGGGGGGTGGTGGCTCCTGCCACTATGCACACCACTAGGAGGGCATGGGGGGCATGTGCCCCCAGATCTGCATGTGGGGCAAGGGGCAGGCTACCACTGTGGGCTGGAGATGAGGCAGGACTAGGCTCTTCCTGGTGGGGGATTTGGGCCAGGGCCATGCTCAGAACAGGTGGTGGTGGAGCTGGGAGGGGGGCTACAGTGAATTTTGGGGTGGCTGCAGCCCCCCCTCCTGTAGCCCGCTCCCAGCGCTGCTGCCACCTACTCCAAGTGCAGCCCTGGCCCACCCACCCCACTGAGAAGAGCTTGGTGCTGTTCTGGCTACAGCTCGCTGTGGCAGCCCACCCTCACCCCACATGCAGATCTGGGGGCATGCACCCATCCATGTCCTCCTGGGGTGTGAGCAGTGGCAGGAGCTGCCCCCCTGTCCCCTTCTGGATAAGCTACTTGTGGCTCTGTTCCCCGCTCTGCTCTGGCTGTGCACCGCCTGACCCTGCCCCAACCCCAGCCCCACTCCCTCCCTCACCCCAGGGGCCTCCATCTGTCCCCCATGCTCCTTCCCTCCTCCCTTGCCCCTTCCCCCACAACAGACTTACCATTCCAGTGTCACTTTCCGTGTTGCCCAGTTGCCTATCAGAATCAGTTTGGTATCAGCTGATATGGCTTGTTAAAAAATGGTCATTGGTGTCGGCCTAAAAATTCTCTATCGGTGCACCCCTACTGAGTATTACTAAGAAAAACATTATTATACTGAGCTAACGTACACACTGTTCCTTTGTGTCTTCACTATTCTATATCCCTCTTGCATTTCAGTAAGTGCTAGAAAGTGGTGCTTGGGATTTGTTTAGTGACATGGAACATAGATATTTTGTGGAACTGCCCTGAGACCAATATATGATCTGCCTATTGAACTGAAGCGAATGACTGAATTAATAGCTGAAACTAAATGATGTGGGAGGTGGGGAGAAGACAACAACTTAAACTGGCTCTTTGTAAAGCTGGGCAAACTCGAATGTAAACTCCTTAGAGTTACTAAGCTACTTTCCAGAGAATTATCTCCTACAAAGTTTGTTGAGGATGAGGATGATACACACTGTTCTCAGGAGATCAGGTTGTATCCTGCAACACTGGTCTGATGCCTACAAGACAACAGTAGTGATAAAGAGGCCAGTTGCAGGGGTATGCTCTGACAATAGGGAGGACAAATAAAATGACAATTGTTCATGTGTCCATAATACTACGAGAGTTGTTTTCTTGGTACTATCCAATAAGACAAGACAGCTATGAATAACCTTTTCCCCTGTATCAGTCTCATTCATGTGACCGATTACTATTTAATATGATATTTAGCAATTGAACATATCTACACCTCAGAGCTTCTCTTGCTATAGTGATGCTGCTGGTATGTCAGGTGAGCCCACTAATATAATATATGTTATGTAATTATACCACTTCGTGCTCCACAATGGAATGGTAGCAAATATCTGAGGTCTTGCAGATCAGCTTATCAATGCAGGAAAAATCATGGATATGGAGCCTGCATATGTATTAAAAATTACTATATTTGCACCAGTCCTAAACCTGAGGAATTAATAAGCATGCTGACAATCTCTTCCTTCAGAAATCTCAGCCGCACCAGTACCCATAAGTAAATTGTGCTTTCGTTAGAGACCCAGGTAAGGAATGAACTGTTCTGTTACTCAGGCTGCTGGCAGACATTAAGACAACAGCCCAACTGGGGTTTGAGGAAGTTTGTTTCCTCATCTCCCAACTTGCATGACCTGCCAGGCCAGGCATGTATAAGGGATGGGGCATAAAATTCCTCAAAACCCAATTATGAGACTGCCAGCTGCCAGCATTTGGGGAGCCTCACATTGGGAGCCCACAGGGTCTCCCCACATAGACAGGGTTCCTAACTTGCTCTATAGCCCCCACACAAGCTTCAGAGCAAAGTGGCTTGAATCTGCATTGCAGCAGAGGATGAGGAGCACCCCAGCTGCTACTTCCTCGGGGACATTCAAGCACACCCAAGCATTTAATAGGGGCTCCCAGCTGCATACCTGCTTTTTAAGGCTAGTGACAGACATTACACATAACCAGTTTAAGTGTTCAGAAACTGGTTTAAACCTGTAACAGAACAGATGTTCAGTGGACATAAACCAGTTTGAAAATGGCTGAAACTGGTTTGAGATAAACCTGGTTGAATGTAGTATCAGACTTAACTGATTTGGGTCAAACCGGCTTATGCAATGTCTGTCCCAGACCTAAAGGTGCAGGGTGCTGTGAGTCCAGCACTGGAGAACCTCTCCCTAATGTCAGGCTACCTACACCTTTAAAAGCAGGCTGCAGCTGGGAGCTGGGCATCTGTGGAAACAGCAGCTTACCACTCACCAGCTGTTGCTTTCGCATTTGGGGAAAGGAGGGGGACTCATTAGAATGTTTCAGAGCTGGCATCTCACACATACACAGGCTCCCTAGGTTCCAGTACCTGGGAAGCTTTAAAGAGCACAGATGCCTCCGTGTGCTCCTTAAAACTCCCTGGGGACTGGGACTTATAGTGCAAGACACAGGCAACTGGAAAGCTGAAAGCTCCTGGCTGTCCAGCTTCCCGTGTCCATGTGAAACTGTGCCTGCAGCTGGAGAGAAGAGAGCTCCTAGCTCCTCAGCAAGTGCTCCTACAAGTGCCCTGAGAACTTAAAAAAGTGGGCTTTCTCATGTAGCCTCAGCCTCATGTAGCTGAGGCTTTCAACATGCCTGCTTTTTAAAAGTCAGGGGCATAGTGATCCTGAGATCAGGGACATGCTCACGGATGCTGGACTTAGGATGTTGTGTCCTCATGTGTTCAGGAAGCTGCACCATGCTAGAGCCGGTGCTCTGCTGAGCATCAGGATTGGTCATGGGTCAGCCTGAACATGCCATACGTTCAATTTTGGGCATGATACAAACAGCCACAAGGATGTGGTTACACATTATATGTGGAATATCTTTTTAGCTTGTTTGCAATACTATCAGCCATAATTTGGCTTTAACCTGTTACTATTTATGGTGCAATAAAATAATATTGTGGTGTTAAAAAGCAACATGTGCCAGGGCCCACATATACCTCCTTCCACTGAGATTCTTGAATTAAAAAACAAACCAAAACAAACAACACCCCCCCACCACTATCATAGGGTGCCTATACACGTGCTCTGACATGTTCTAACTAGAAGTGCTGGGGCACTTTAACTGAAGCTAATCAAATGGAGCATTTATACACATACTTTTCTGTCCTGTGACATGCTAGAAATCTGCTGCTTCAGAGCAGACTTGATTAATCAAGTCTGCTTCACCTGCAAGCTGACGTGAAATGCGCTGCACTGCATGCAGTTGCATAAGCAGTGAAATGCGCGTCAGCATGCAGAAAATGTCGGCAACGCACTTTTGAACTAAAGCACCTACAATGTACTTATATCAAAAATGTGCCACTACCATCTCCTCACTGCTGATGCACATCTCGCTGCTTATACAACTGCAAGCACCACAGTGCCAGACACTTTTCAATGTGCCTGGTGCTGTGGTGCTTATATGTGTAAAAATGCCCATGAGCTTTAGTTAAACTGCCCCACAGTCATTTTTAAATGTGTGAGGGCTTAATACATGTGACACTGTGGTGTTTTAATTAGAGTGGCTCTCTGGGAACAGCTCTAGTTAAAACACCCTCCTTCCTCCCCCCATGTATGTGTATAGGCAGCCATACAGATTATGTCTTTCCAAGTTGTAGTATTTGCTCACACACAAACAAGGAGGACTTCATGATAGTAAAAGTGACACCTGCTATAACAGTATTATTACAGTATAACCTAGATGTGAGGGTCCCATTGCACTAGGCACAGCACAGACGAAAAAAAAAAAAAAAAGAGAGAGATGGCCTTGCCCACCAAGAACTTACAATCTAAGTGGAGACAATAAATAGATACAAAAGACAGAGAGGATGATGGGAGAAAAGGAACTGACCTGTAACCATACACTTCTCCTCGCATTCTTCTAATGTTAGAAAGTTGTTTTCATTGCCTTTGCATCCACCATATTCAAAAGTTTCACACTTGCGATTTTGAATGTTGAAGTAATACCGCACAAGTATTGCTTTGCATGGGCCTTCATCTAGCTTCATTGCACAAAATGAATGTCCTAGTTTCAGTGGTGATGATACAGCAACTGTAAGTGGGAGGAAAGGAAGCAAGATACTAAATCTTATGAAATTAGTTTGGTTAATATAGTAGCATAATTTTTGTCATTTTAGAGATTTAAACAGTATATGGCACTGACCCCTAAAATAGCTGATTTTTGCTCTGCCCCATTTTTTGAAAAGTTACAGCACAGTATTTAGCCTTTGAAATTGTGTATAATTTTAATATATGCCTGTGAAAATAAAATAAAATAATGTATTGGAGTGCAAATTCCAGAAGTTATACTCATTTCATCAGGGAGCTAGTACAAACACCTGTGATCTCCATAATAAATTAAATACTCACCATCAACTCTTGAAATAAAAAACAAACAAAATACTATTCACAGAAAGTAGTTAATAATTTAAAACAACAGCAGATCTAAAATGTATAGATAAAAGATAAACCCAGCTCTAACAATTAAGCTATATCACAGCTATTTGAAATGTTATTAGTTCTAATTTCTGTAGAGTTATGGAATTATTAGCTTAAAGTAATACTTTTTTAACAAATTGAAAGGAAAGCAAGATCATGAAAATGCTTAGTTCTCTCCAAGTGTATAATTTGATCACTCACTATTTAAATGAATTTGTGGGCCTCTATTCACTTCAAGAAACTAGAGTGAACACTTTTTTGATGAATCTTGGATTTAACATAAACTGTGAGTGTCTACATGAGACATTTTACTAAGCAGTAGAATAATCTACTGGGCAGCAAAGTGTCACTGTCTACATGTATGCAGTATTTACTGTGCAATAGATTAGTCTGTTGCATGACTACCTACTACCTGTAAATACAGGTAGTAGATTAGCTGCACAGTGAATGCGTCTACATGAGATGCTTTACTGCGCAGTTTATTGCAGAAAATGATGCTACCCGTGAGTAAATTTGTTACCTGCAAATGCAAGTAGCAACTTTACTCATGACTAGTTACAGTGCAGTAACACACATGTGACAGCCAGAACCAGAGGGATTAATAAGCAATAAATACGTGCTTCTTGAAGGCATTTGGTATTTTGCCTAAACAGGTAATATTAGTTAATATAAGCTTGTAAGTTTGTAAACTGCAAATGTAACTTGTCTGTCATAAGATTAACCAAAATGATAACTTAACTGTTCATGGAACTGATTGGGCCCCATAGGCAAAGCTGTAGCTGTGAGATTAGCTGGCCTAACAGTTTTTTGCTCAGGGTTCAGCCTTAGCGATAAAAACTGAATCTAACTGCCTGACACACCCAACACATTCCAAGAAAACATATCCCAAGAAAGCATATTCAAATGAAGCCTAGAAGGGGTTGAGGCTTAGGCGGAGCAATGTCAATTTCTAACCTAAAGGTGCTGCATTATAATTTGCTTATTGGATAAACCCGAGTCTGGATAGTAACCTTTTATAATTTTAACACCTTTCAATCCCATAGGGTAACAGCTATAGGGCAACGTTGTGAGTGGCCCTGAGGCCAACAGATTAACATAAGACTAGGTATAAAAAGCGTGTGCATCAGTCGACCAGCAGGAAGGAGGGAACAGAACGGTCATTTCTGTTCCATGCCTGGACCCCAGACTCCTGGTGTGAGTGAGGATCGCATCCTGATCAAGGGATCTTCCCCGGTAATCCCTCTGACAGCGTTGATCAATGGGGATGCCTGACTTCGCTGGAATCACTTGGCGCGCACCTGGCATTGAGGGACTATCGATAAGTTGCCAACCCATGTCTATCTGTTGTTTTGAACAGCCCAGTGGCTAATACCCTTGCAGTGTCCAGCTGGCCTGTGACAGATTGATCTATCTATCTATCTATCTATCTATCTATCTATCTATCTATCTATCTATTGTTATTATTTACTATTAGCTCTTTAATACTGCATTATCTCCTTATTGCATTTATCTTTCTGTTAACTGCTCTGTGTGTGTGTAAGCTATAATACATTTGCCTTTATTTCACTCCCAACTTTGTCTCCTTGATTCGAAACTGAATCAAACAGCCCAGTTGGCCTGTGATAAAATTGATACGCTCACAGTGCCCAGCTGGCCTGTGACACACATGTAGATGCCAACCAGGAGCAAATTTGCTCCTAGTCAGTCCTGCTACTAGACTCTGCAGGTCCTGCAGCTGCACACAAAGGAAAGGCTGTAGTTGGCAGCTGGGATGCATCCTCAGGGTCACCGCCTTCTGGGACCCCAAAGATGCACCAGCTTTGCAGGAGGGGGACCCAGAACTGGACCTCCTGGACCAGCTGGTGATAGCCACACAGGACCGGCTGGCAGACACATGGGCATGGCAAATAGAGGACATCACCCACCAGGACAGTTGGTGGGTGGAGGACATCACCCATGAGGACACGTGGGACTGGGCGGACTGGGAGTTTAGGGCATAGCTCCTGGCTCTGGAGGTGCAGCACATGGAGATCCTGCAGCAGCAAGCTCTGCTCATGGCCAGGGTGGTGAAGGCCATGGAGGAGGACCACCAGGTGCTAGATACCATCTTGGCCCTGGCAGTCACTTTTATGCTGCCTGCTGCCCTGCCCCTAACCTTAGCCCTGCCTGGCCCCTGGCAGCTGCCCACCACCCAGCACTCAAAGGTACACACACTCCACCCAGGCATCTGGGTCAGGTATCTGTTGAAGTGGGCCAAGCAGAGGTCCAGCTGGCTGCTGTAGGGTTGCATGAGACATGGGAGGAGTGGGTAGACAGGGTCCCCAATGAGAAGGGGTAGGACTACTATGGCTCCCAGCTGGAGGTCTGGCACCCACAGCACAAACCAGCCACTCTTCACCAGGGCTGGCAGAGAAGAATTCCTGAAGAAGTGGGCATCATGGGCACAGCCCACCCAGCTGGCACTCACATTAGTGAAGGCACTGCGGTGGTTGGTGACAGCCTGGAGCACAATGGAGTGGAAGCCTCAGCAGTTGTTGTAGGGATGGTCATCATGGTGTGGACAGGTGATGGAGATATGGGTCTTGTTCAGGGCTCTGATGTACTAGGGGAATCCCAGGGCATGGAACCCCACCGCCACTGCCAGCGGGTTGTGCACATGGAGCACGGTGTGGCCCAGCACATCCTGGAGGGTGGTGCAGACATCCAGGGTGGCCTTCCCAGTGGTGGCCTTACCTATACCAAAGAGAGGACTGATCTAGTGGAGCCTGGCAGACATGGCCAACTCAAGCAGGATGATGGCCAGCTGGGTATCCTGATATTTCAGGTGTAGGTAGAATTCCTCCAGGAGGTCCAGGAAGGTGGCCTGGATCATTCAGAACACCTCCAGCCACTGCTTATCATCCCAGGTGGCCTGTATGATGTGCAGCTACCAGTCCTGGCTGGCGAGATAGGCCTAGATGTGGCAAGGCCCAGGAAGGCATGGATGGCCCCAGTTACAGTGTCCAGGAGTTTATTGTTGGCATCCCTGCCAGGGTCTGGTCAGCAAGACAGGGTCCAGGCAGCAACTGCATGGCAGCAGGGTGCTTGGGATGGCAGAGTGGGGCCGGGCAGGCAGTTGCTACTTCATAGAATCATAGAATCATAGAAGTAGGGTCGGAAGGGACCTTGCAGATCTTCAGGTCCGACCCCCTGCCTGGGCAGGAAGAAAAACTGGGCTCAAATGACCCCAGCCAGGTAGGCATCAAGCCTGTTCTTAAAGCCCCCCAGGGTGGGAGCCAGCACCACTTCCCTTGGAAGTTGGTTTCAGATCCTAGCCATCCTAACTGTGAAATAGTTCTTACGGATGTCTAATCTAAACCTACTCTCCAACAACTTGTGGCCGTTATTCCTTGTTATCCCTGGGGGTGCTAGGGGAAACAAGGTCTTCCCCAAACCCTTCTGGTCCCCCCTAGTGAGTTTATAGACGGTCACCAGGTCCCCCCTCAGCCTTCTCTTGTGAAGGCTGAACAGGTTCAGGTCCCGTAACCTCTTGTTGTAGGGTCTGCCCTGCTGTCCCTGGATCATGCGGGTCCCTCCTCTGGACCCTCTCAATGTTGTCCACATCCCTCTTGAAGTGGGATGCCCAGAACTGGACATAGTACTCCAGCTGTGGCCTGACCAGTGTCGCGTAGAGGGGAAGGATTACCTCCTTGAACCTACTTGAGATGCACCTGTGGATGCACGATAAGGTCCGGTTAGCCCTGCCAATCATGACCTCGCATTGTCGGCCCATGTTCATCTTGGAGTCAATAATGACTCCAAGATCCCTTTCTGCCTCCATGCTCTCAAGAAGGGAGTTTCCCATCTTATAAGTGTGCTGCTGGTTACTACTGCCCAAGTGCAGTAGTACTTGTGGGAGAGCCAGCAGGACCCAGCTAGCTGTGGGCCAGATAGTTGGTGTGGTGGGCCGCATGCTGCCCTTGCACTGTGCATGCTGCTTATAGCCAGAAACACGGCTGGCCTGGGAGCAGGGCTGGCTTTTAAAAATGGCCTTCAGCCACAGGCAGATGTAGACAGAGCCTGCACCTCCCCCTGCTGATGGCATGGGATCACTGCAGGGCCCCAGGAAGTGGGAGCAGTTTGCTGCTATCAGCAGCAAATCTGCTCCTGCTTCCCTGCACATGTAGATGCCTTCCCAGGAGTGTTTCCTTGCAAGTAAACTGCTCCTGCATCGAATGCATGTATACACACACCCAGTAACTACTGCACAGTAGCACATGTGTAGACTGCTGACTGGAAGCAAATTGCTCCTGGTCAGCCCAGGCATCAGGGGCTGGGGAAACTTCCTTCTCCAGTCCTGTGTCCAATTGGCATATCAGAGCACAGGGCAGGGAAAATGTCTCTTCTTCCAGCTGTTGCTTCCCAGCCCCATGCCCTGATCCACAGATTGGGGCATGGGGGTGGAAAACAATAGCTGGGGGAAGGGATATTTTCCCAGCCCCATGTCCCTCTGGAGATTGGGGAATGGGGCTGGGAGGAAGCTGCCATGGAGGTGGGCCAACTTTTTCCACCCACTGGAGGCCAGGCCCTGAACCCAGTGACCTCTGCCAGCTCAGGGCTGGCTCATGGGGGAGT